TGGTCAGCCTAGAGGTTTAGTAAATAGCAGGTCGATTTTATGTAGAACGGCATAGGTTAAAATGAGAAGTAAGATCATTATCAGCATGATTCATAACAAAAGACTGAATATTGTCACCACTGCTGCTAGTCTAGAGAGAGACCTGCTGATTAGAACAAACCTGAAAGGCCTGATGTAGGCACGGTTGGCAAGTGTTGAAAGTTAGTCAAGCTGTGTTTGATGCAGTTAGTGTCATAGCTTCGTGTAAGTTCCAGGGGTGTAACCCAGTTAATATACTTTAGGTTCCAGTAAGCATTAAAGCACCATAGTGATAAGTGTTTTGTATTATTTTAAGTCTCACTAGATGCAAAGAATAAGTTTTATTTGAATTTTTTTTTTTTTTGTGTTTTATCTTGTGACTACAGTGAGTTAATGAAAGGCATAGCTTGCTTTAATATGTTAGAATAATTTTTAAGGATAAGCATTAATATAAAAAATTTAATTAGGTAATTAGATAACCTTAGTCATTATGGATTTATGTGGCTACTATTAAATTTATTTTTTTAACATAACAATGTTAAAAAAGCCCTATTAAAACCAAAATCTATAAAATTCACAGCTTAAATAATGTAATTTATGCATTGATTCTTAAACGATATTAGGATAATTACACTTAAAAGCTACAAAACATTTATGCTTTGTAACACAACACTCTCAAATATTTATCCATAATTTTAATTGACCCTTCCCAAACATTTGGCTATTTATATCGATTTCCTTCTGGTTAAAGCATCTTTTCTAGCAATTAGAGATTTGTCTCAATATCAAACCATGCTCTCACTAGTTTCTGCGTGCTTTATCTCCAACTTGTCACCTCTCCACAGTATACCTATGAGGTTACTTGATCTGTAAAGTAAATAGTCCCTTTCCCCGAGAGACGTGAACCAAATTATCGCTATGTCTGAAAGTAACTACAATATCAGACAAAGGCTTAAATAAGATTCTAACAAATAAGTTCATGGTGACGTAATTAAACAAGAACAGTCAAATTAAACTAAAAATGTGGACTAGTGGTCAAAGATTATACAATTTAATTTAAATTTAATCTAGCTCAGTAACTCTGTCATATGAGGAAACAGAAATGGGAAATTATAGTAAAGGCTAAAATCATAAACAAATGGGTAATTTACATAATAATAACTGCACATATCTTTGAAGAATAATTTTCTTTATGTATTCCGTTTCTTTCTTCAAGACGTTTCCTTTTCATTTTAGAATTTTTTAAATTTAGTTTAGGATTTCCGTTATTCTAAAAAACAATAAATGCATTTAGAATGTATAAAAAAGTAGCTAATTTTATTTCTTTAGTAATATGAACATTCAGAAGAAATATGAAATATATATGGCAAAGGCCGGTTACAAAGCTGGTGTGGCAGAATTTTTAGAATTTAGTGACACACCGAACAACAAAATCTAAAATCTAGAAATGGCAAAACTTTTAGAATTTAGAGCAGGCATTGAAAGCAGAATTTAGAAAGGCACTAGGCAGCAAAATTTACAATCCACAGATATTGCATCAGGTGGGAAAATGCTTATTACCAGCTCTGTGTATGATGCATTAAGACTTAGATGAATCTTTTAAATTGTAAGTTTTCAATTTCTTTATTAATAAAAAAATCCCTTTCTATAATGCCTGCCCATGTGATAAGATTAGAACCATTTTTGATATTTTCCATGCTTGTGTCTAGTGAAAAGTAGAGAAAATAAACGGAAGATAAACATGTTAAGAAAAAGGATTCTAGTATCAGGAGTAAAACATTCAAATATTATATTTTCATTGTTCTTCCAGATATTCTCTGAAAAGTAAGAAATTCATCACAAACTTTCTGTTTACATCCATTACATGTTGATGCCATGGAGACATTTTTCATTTTGTCACATATTTCTCGAATCTTCTAGAATAGTGGGTCTATAAATCTTGCCTTCAAATTCTTCTAAACTTTCGAAGCTGCAATGTCTAAAATACTAAAGAAAAATTATTTGTACCAATTCTGTAAGAGCAAAAAGCCAGAAATATTTTTTTGGAGAAAGGGGGGGGGGACAGAAAAAGTGTAAAATTAATTTTATAGAGAAAACTGAGGCATATTTTGAGAATTTTGAATATTCTGAGACAATTACATGGGAAAAACTCTTACTATGAAAAAATTAAGAAGCCATTTTTAATTAATTACGTAGCTAATTTTGCTTTTGCTAAGAGCTGTTTCATAAATTGTGCTTTATAGCATTATATTGTATAATAAGTTTTCAAAATGAAACTTTATAATACGACAGCGAAAAATAAAAATGTTTTATTTTAATGTTATTCTTTAAATATTATTTCAACATATTATCATTATTTTAATGAAATTTATCAATATTACGATGCTTTAAAAAAATTTTTCAAAATTCTCAGATCTCGGAATTAAAAATTTTCTATAGAAACTGATCTTAAAACTCCCAAAATGTTGAAATGCTGCGAAATTTAGAACCATTTAATAAAAGAACTCCCATCCCGAAAAGCGAAAAGTTGTATATGAGCTCTTTATTAGAAAAAAATAATTTTGAAATGCTTATGTTTCATTTTTTGCTTAGAAACTCGAGTATCCCATCATTTATACAGTTCAAAGTCCGTAATCCGGACTCACTGGGACTTCGGTGATTCTGGATTATAGATCACCAATTTAAATCTGGTAAGATGGCATGCAGAAATTATACAATTAAAAATATGAAACTGTAATTTATGAAATAAAGAGCAATTATAATCTAAAAGGTCTCAAAATAAATAAATAAATAAAAGGCACTTTATATTTATTTGTTTACTTTATTAAACATTTCTTTCAATATAAGTTGTTTATGGTTGCTTCCTTTTTTTGTGCTAAATGCGCACGCGTAAACGCATTACATGCATGCGTAAGGTTGTGGCTTTGAGGTCCAGATTATAGATCATTCTGGATACTGGACATCCAGATTACAGACGTTGTACTGTATTAGAATTAGAAACAAATTACAACCCATGCACCCATTCAAAAGATAACCATATATGTCAGTGAATCGCCAAAAATACTCCTCCAAATGCTAATTCACACTCAAAATGGCAGTCGTGAAAACAGACAGAATTTCAGATGATTAAAATTAAGGACCTTCTGCTGATTTTGGACAAAATTAAGGACTTTTAAGGTCCAAAAATCGATTCCAAAAAATCAAAGGACTCTTAAGGACCATACAAACCTTGTATTATATTTGTGATCATGTTTTATTCAGTGAACTCACCATTTTTAATAATGTCTCACAATTATGTTTTCTTGGAATCAGCAGTGTAGAGAACTATTAGCAAGCTGAAAGCAAGTCAGATAACTGGACAATAACTGGGACCAATCATAATACTACAAAATATCACTTCCTAACAGTATAATTAAATTAAGGAATTAAAATACTGAACTTCATTAAGAGATCATGAAAATCAGGTACAAATGATCTACCACTGCTTCACAAGTGTTATGTGCCTTTTAAACAAATTAATATTGTGAGATGAAATGAGACTGAAAGTGGAGTCAAACAAAATGGTGGGGAATACATAGAGTTCTGTTTTACGAAAGATTTCACTTAATGACAGATAAGTTCTTGTCCCAAAAAAGAACATGTAAAATAATTTACCTTTTGTGCAGAAATAGGCTGATGCAAGGTTATAGTTATTTATTGAAAACAATATTTTAAAAAAGAAAAAAAAATTCAAAACTAAAAGTGGATTTAGAAACGAGCATGAGCATGGGCACCATTAATAACTAAACAGCAAAGGAATAACTAAACAAGCAAATTAATAATTAAATAAGTAAATTAATAACTAAACAAGCAAATTAACAAAACAGCAAGTTAATATTAAACAGCAAATATAGTTACAGAATAATATTCAATAGTTTGAAATCAAAGCAGGGGTTTAAAGATACAGATTTCTTTTTTAAAAAGAAATATAACAAGTGGAACATGAAATAATAAACCATAATTTAACTGGCACTCTAATCAAAAAAGGTTTGCCATCCCTGGGCGAGAAGATAAAACAATGAGATTTACTTCCAGTTGTGATATATGCTGCAGACATATGTGAATCACTTGATTTTTTTCACGAATGATAATCATTTTCATATATCTCAGAAAAACTAACTTCATAAGAGGGAATACAGAATATAAAGTGGGCATTTAAATTGACCTGAATTGCATTGGCCAAGGATGAACATATTTATTAAACTGCAGATTGCTATTATTCAGGAATGGAAAAATCATCTCTAATGCCTGCTTGGTGATTTTATAGTATTAATATTACGTTATACAAGAGTGCACTGGTTCAAAGAGGCCAGAAATTACATTTAAGCTACCACTCACAAAACGTCACTTTTTTCATTACTACTTAAGAGGATACAAAAGGAGCACTTTCCTTTTACAAACTAACATGCTCCTAACAGCAATTCATAAAATACGGTATAAATATTAATTTGAACTTTGGCCTTGATATAATATTCATTATGTTAGACTATTTTAATATGGCAAAGCACATGAGGATTCATGGATGACTTTCTGTGGAAAACTGGCTCATAGCCATGTTACACTGGGTAAAAAGGATGAAAAATCATCCTGCAGCCAGCTCATTTACTACAGTTCAAATCTGGATCACCACTTGATGGCCACTGATAGAACCATCATATTGCACAGACATGGCAATAGTTCCATGCTGGGTACAAAAATCTCTAATTAAATGAATTTATAATTTAAAACTTCATTAAAATGACATATTATTATATACATATTGTAACAACATTTTGCACTGAATCATAATATTGAATAAAAATTATCTATGGGAGGCCTTTTGTTATCCATATTACTCAAATTAACACTATTTTGCTGCTAAAATATACAATATATTTTCATTTCCTTGATTAGTTGTAGTAGTAGTATAATTTATTTCTGCAACTACAGGAAAAAGGACAAATAGCTATTCTAAAAAAATTTATTTTGTTCAATGGAACATTGTTTTCATAAACTTGAATATTATAAATTAATAACATAGTGATTTTGAGCAAATTATATAACACATGTTCCAAAAATTCACAGTGAATTTTGGACAACTTTTTCAATAAATATTGCAAGTAAAAACACATTTTAACCCTTATACAAAAAACACATAACATTACAAAATGCATGAATACTGGATTCAGGCTCTTTCAGAAGAAAATTATGTTGAATATACATTAACATTTAAACATTTTTTGTAAATGATAAAAATACTGATTTTCATTCAGTAATAATATGGCACTTTTATTTGAGTAACAGAAAACACTTCACATATATTAAAGCATTTTAAAATAAGCGGTGGGGCACTGCTTTATATGAATTTGATAAACTGGAAAAGTTCAATTTATGTCCAGAAACATTAAAAAGACTATGCAAAAAAAGAAAGTTTAATTCAGCATGTTCTTAATCTCAAATCAGATACCTAAATAGATAAGTATAACAGATGTACATCATTTTTAGTAAACAGTAAACTACATATAACTTATTTTGCACTGAAATAAATCATTATACAGTCTTAAAATCTTATTATCAGCTTAATGCAATTTAAAGAAATTTTGATTTCCTAGAAAGCTTAGGCATACAAGTTCTCTGTATAGCTTCAACTCTTTATGAATTATCTGCAAGAATGTTCATGATTTCTTTACATCGGTGTTTATTTTCATATGTAAATGAGGGAAAAATAATTGATAAAAGGATATTTAAAAATATAAAATGACTATATGGATTTAATGATATAAAATGTATAACAGAATGCTGCATTTGAATAAGGATAAAACTTATAAATTATCATAATGGTTATTGAGATCAATGGAGTCCTGTTTTTATCATTAAAAAGAAAGAGAGGAAATTGCTGAGACCTGAATTTGCAATGTATAATATTCCTTACTAAAGTGCACTTTCTCATACTTCAGTTTTGTAGATACTGTCTAAAAACTGCATTTAAGTTACGTCGACCCAGATCACTAGTGACAACATAGTTCTTCTGGAATCAAAAATTTTTCTATGCAAAGAATGTAGTTTAATGATTTTAAACTGAAAATTTGGTAAAGGGACCTTGATCTGATGATGCCTAAAAATTATCAAAGATCAAGAGTTTAGTTTTATAAAAACAAATGACAGTGAAAATTTCAAAAATATTTAGCAAAAATAATCTTATGCATACGTATCTGATAATGAGGATTTAATTTTGATTCTGTTCTTACACTGTTCTTCAAAATTAAAGGGCAATGATAAAAGTAAAACTTCACTAAAATTATTAAACACCAATTTGTACAAAAACATTACTTAAATTACCATATTTACCACTGCTTAATCTCAAAATATTGAATTCAAAAATGCACAGAAAATTATCTTCCCCATTTTACAGATGTTTCTTTAAATGGTGTATAATCACCTCCAACATGTACATAAACCTCTCATCTTGATTTCATAGAACTTAAAATCTCTATGAAATTTTGTGGAATTACCTACCACTATTCTGAAACTTTTCACATTCTGGTGGATTCGATGGAGTCATCTGGAGTGCTGCAATTTAATGGCCTATGGCATCCCATACATGCTTAATTTGGGTCCAAGTGTGTACGTTGGCCAATCCATTTAAGTGATAGCTTCTGTTTCCACATATTCTGATAACAGAGATGCTTGATATGGACAAATAGTGTCATCCTTTTGCAAAAATTCTGAGCCAACAGTACCCGTAAACAGCATTGATTCTAAGACTTTATTCACTTATATGTGACCAGTTACAGAATCTTTTTGAAAGACATGCAACTCGATACGGCCACTTTTGAAGTTTCCCCCTCAAACTATGAAAAGTACATCTAAAATAGGATATTTTATGAGCAAGGGAAGATAACCTGAGTGTTTCTCTTTCCCTACAGATCAAAACACGTCCAAAATTATGCACATAAAATCATGGTTACATCTGCACTCAATAAACAGTAAATGGTGTCATTTGTTTTGGCTCCATTCGATGTCATGCTGACAGTGCCTTAATTGGGCCTCTTTGAAAGATAAAGTATCAGATCATAGATATAAACCATGATTTTCTTGAACAAACTTTGTGAAGCCTTCGTATAGCAATATAATGGCTGGCTCAAATTCCAGTGTTACCTGTTTAAACCAACCATCCTGTAGTCACTTCATGATTTCTTTGTGCTGACAACAACATAAAAAATTCTTTGACATAAGTTGCCTGTTACTTTGCTGAGGAAGATGTTTATGCAAAGAAGATATTAATAGGCAGCGAATGCCACTTCAATCTTGAATGTTCATATCTAATGAAATTTGTAAGTACAATAAAAAAATAGTTGCTCTGACAGGACATACTATCTTCTGAACATGCAACCATATATACATGAAATAAAAGTGATATTAAAGTATTACTGAAGTTGAAAAAAAAATTAAAATGCTGACTCAATCTGTTGTAAGACTAGCTTTACCCATTGTTAGAACTTACTGCAATATAACAGTGGAAAACCAGTTTACCTTGGTAAAATTAGCCTTGGGATTAAAAAGAGAGACTTGAAGGGACTTGTAGGGACTTTTATGCAGAATAAATTGCACGACTCAATTTTTTTTCCCACCAAATAAAAGAAAATCAGTTTCTGCCTCTATGAGCAGACCACAGACTGCTGCTATATACGTTGAAGAAAAACATGTTTGTTTATCTTGTTCCTACAGCATACACAGATTAACTTTCTGGAAAATCAGAAAATAGTACCATTTTAAAAATAAGCAAAATTTAGCATGGATGCCTTTGAAGAAAAATGCACGATATACAGCAGAAGCCTATGAACAAGATGTTGACTATGCTGTTATCTTTTAATATTTATTAAATATAACTTGTTGAACATTCATATTACATTTTCAATATATCCTAAAAATCTTAATTAAACTAGGCTTTAATTTGTGAAAAACTTAGGCAGTAAACTGATGAACAATTGTTTAACTCTGTACTATAAGACCCTTACTTCAATAATAATAATATTAATAAAAATCTTTGTTCCTAAGGAGGGAAATCATTAGATACTTCAATAACAAATAAGACGTGGAACATGCACTAAAACCAAAGACAGAAAAAAATACACTTGCAATGAATGCAACATACTCATTTGCAGCTTATGCTTTATATATATTATGCACATAGCAAACATTAAAAGAAGAAGGGAACATTACATTTTAGGCCTAGTAACACTTAAATACCACTGAACTTCTTGCAAATTTAATTTAACATATTTTTCTTTTTATAAAATATTGAGTTGGTATGTGTTTTTTCAATAACAATTAAAACTAACTTCCTCGCTCTTCCCCTCTTTTTGTTATTTGAAGCAAATTTTTCCCTATCCTAATATGTTTTTTAAGTGTTCATTTTTATCATATTTACTGATATGATTTGATTTATTAATTAATTAAAAATAAAAATTAACTGTAGGATTTCTGAAATTCCACCTTATACACTAAGTAACATAAAGTTTACAGTTTAGTTATGAGTGAAATTTCTGAATACAAAGATTCAAATCTAAAAACTAAGTATTTATAAACAGAATGACTTTTTGTACAATATATTAAATATGTCTCTGAAAATTTGAGCATTTATTAGTTTATTGCTTATTAAGGAAAATAATTATTACTTTAAACAGAAAATTGAGTCACTGATCTTTATGACACATTCAATAAACAATAAAAAATCTAAAAACCTAGCTTATTGAAAATTTTGATACCTTTGTTGATAAACACATATATGAAGCTTAATAAATACTATCCAAATGAAGGTTTACAACTAAAAAAAAAGATAAATTGTAACTTTTGATTTGATATTCCCTACCAGATGTAAAAAAAAAAAAATATCTGAAAATACTGCTTCTTTCAGCAGTTTTAAAACACTTGATATATTATTCCGTACAAATACTGAAAATTCGTAAGGTCCTTTAGCTAACAAACAAAATGATACTTTGTGATTATTTGCTTCTCCATAAAAACTTGCTAACATACTAGCAACTTTGTGAATTCATGAAAATTATTTGTTGGCTTTTTTTATTGACTCACAAATATTGTTCTGCTCATAAATAATAATAGGAAGAATTTTATATGAAACATGAATTTATATAAGAAAATGCAGAAGTCTATATGACCGGTATTTAAATTTTTAATGCCAGTGGATTCTGTTCAGCAAAGTGACATATAAATAAATCCATGAGTACTCAATCATGTATATGGTATAGGGTCTAGGACTTTTCATCTCGGCCGTTTCACCGTCGGGATGTTTTGCTGTCAATACATATTTTTCTTTACACGACTGTATTATACTCATATTAAATTTATTTAGTTTAATAATTCTGTTTACCTTTTGTATACTTAATAAAGGTTGCTTTTAATATATACAGTTATTTACAAGTATGAGATATACAGAAATTACACATAGTTAGTTGGAAAATTATATCTGTATCAAAGAGAACTGGGGCTAATCTTCTGATATAACAAAAGCTATATTACCGATTTAAAAATTATGCGGTACAATATTGACATGATTCGTCAAAATTTCTTGAAATATTAATTGGCTAGTTCACAGAAATCACTCATAAGCAGGAAATTCACATTTTTATGAAATCTGAATGGAAAACGGAGTTACTTTGAAATCTTGTCAGCACCTTACTCTCTTAAAATTAATATCTCATGTCTAACAGTGTATTTGTAAAACTATACACAAAAACATTTTATATATTATTTAATATAAAATGTTTATTAAATCAAATTATGAAACTAAACAGAGTTTTTATAATACGGCAAGATATAATACAGTCATGTAAAGTAAAATATGTCTTGACAGCGAATAGTCCCATTCCCTGTGGTACATACTTAGATGGTTATTGTGGCATGTATACTCAAAAATATGCCAAAAAACAGTAAGCCTACCAAATGTTGAAACCAGGGATGTGATTATCAGAAAGTACTAATTAAACAGACTAAATTTATACACATATTGATACATATTTATTATTAATATAAAATGATTTCGGTTTGTATTGCTTTCTAAGAATTGATATAAAATTATCTCAAATAATTTATATTGGCTAATTAAGTATACTTATGTACACAGGTTTCACATTCAAAACAATAACATGGTATGTGAAATTAATAAGCATTTATGAATTTTATTTAATTCAGTAAATTAACCATTTGCTGAGTAAAGTATTAATTTTATCTTATTTTATTTCTCCCAGCAATATATGATTAAAAGATAGGTGAGCACATATGTATCAGTCAAAATTTTATAGAAGCAACAATCTTACCCCATTTGTTTTAATACAAGGAATTACAGAAAACCAGAAAGCTTTTAAGCTATTTTGTTTCTAATAAATATATATTTGCACTATACTGATATCCTCTTTTTAAACTTCAATAATAGTAAAATAGTAAACGTTTATTTAAAGCTTGATATTAACATTTTCTTTAAAATCTATGTTGAAATGAAACATGTACAAAGCGTGTGGAAACAGTTTCATACTTAATGGCAAAATTACAGTCAAATTCTGTTATAATGAGTATAACTATAATGACATCTCAACTGTAATAAGCAAAATGCCAAAATAGTTTTACTTCGTGAAGTTAGCAATACCTATAGTCTTCACACATTTTACTTTATATTAGATTACAATGCATGCCAATGATTAATGAATTTCAAAGACTAAAAAACTCAGAGTTGCTACTAATCCTATAGGGGATATCTTTCAATATTTTAGCAGTATATTAGTATAATAAATTCAAAAGTTTAAAAACAACATATATACTTCATAATAATGTTTATTTTATTTTTAATAATATGTCTATTTGATATAGTTTATAACAAAACTAATTTAATAATTTGGTACTTGTGTATTTCGCCATCGATCAAATTGCATTAAACAGTGCAATTTATATGGATATACATGACATACCAACACATTCATAAGAACTTTGCTTTGCTTTCATGTAACCCTGATCTTCAATAAGCCAAGTTAGGTTTGGCAAGGAAGTTACAAATTAACTGCTATTTATCTGTTTTTCTCCTGCATTTTGGAAATACGACTAACATTTTAGGCCCACTTTCTACAGAACAGTAAGTAGTGAAGTTGCAGGAATGGTTATACAGATGCTCATACTCAAAGTATTTAACTGTAAAGTTCAGCAAAATGGTGCAATAAAAGCCACTGAGGAATGAATGCCACAACAGCACTTAGATTTCGTATTTTAAGTAAATTTATATGGTATTAACTTCATACAGAAAGTGACGGTTTTGCAGTTATTTTATATTCCATGAGGGAGAATTTTTGACTGCTGGAAAGACTAGAGCTGGTATTAATGAACTTCTTTGTCAGAAAATCTCAAAGCTTGAGCTCATAGTTATTTAAATGTTTATATGCTACGTTAATAGCTTGTATTTGTTAATTTAATTAAATAAACAGCAATCTGTTATTATCTAACTAACTAACAACCATCTCTTCCTTCAAACTTCCACTGGAATCAGCAGCAGAGATTTGGTCAGATACTAGCCAACGTCTATGGTTAACAGAAAAATATGTGTGTGCCAATAAGTTTATACATGCTTACTGCATCAGTTTAATTAAAAAAACTCATTTGAAATACCATATGACTAACTAATACTATGCCCACTATATAATAATAGATTTGTCTTCTTTTCTTTCTTTTAATTTATAATTTTACACATGTAAATTAAAAAAACACTAACAACTTATATAATCACTATTCTGCACTTAAACAATGATTAGACAGGAAAATTCCATAGTTTATCTACTATCAGTGCTCATTATAACTGAGTTTGACTGTATATAACAATTAAGTATTACTGAAAATATAAAAATATTTACAACATTACATACTTCAAGTTTTTGTAGTGTACAAGTAAAAATTCACTAGCCAATTTCAAAAGTTAACTATGACAATTCATAACAGTAATGTATACAAGTAATCAAACTGAGCACCTAAATATGTTTAAAAACTTAATAAACTGATAAAATATGTTGAATTATGAGTTTTGAAAGACTTCAGACAGTAACAAAAATGAACTTATAATGTATGCTACAACAAAAATGCATAAATTAATATACAAAACTCTGAATTAAGTTATTCACTTAATATGAGACACATCTTAATTAGTAGAAAATAAATTTTATACATATGTGAACATAAGAGTGGTATAGAAAACACGGAAAATTCTCCATTTGTTATGGCTTTAAAATACATATAAAACATATTAAGCAGAATTGTTGTAAAATATACCTTGTATATGCCTTTATTCCTTTTAAATATGCTTATTTTTATTTAATTAATTAATCTAATATTTTTCTTATTTTGCATAACAAAAGGACAATCTATTGCAAGATAGATTTATATATCTATATATATATATATATATATATATATATATATATATACCTTTGATTATAAAAACTCATGAGCAGATAAGGCACACATAGAGTCAAGGTTTAAACTTAACAAGAGGGATATTTTTTGAAGAAAGGCACTTGTCACAGACCCACTCTGCATATACTTCAGCACTCAAAAGATGAAAAGCTGGCTCAGTTAGTCCTGTACAAACACGGTGAAACCAGAAATTGCAGCCACTTTCACAGAGAACTGCTTGATCATTGTCGTGTACCTCCTTGTGGCAGATACCACATGGGTATATTGGAGGAGCATTTGGATTCTGAGGATTAAATACCATAGGTTGATCTGGTGGATATACCTATAAAATATATATATATATAAGATGACAAAACTTTTCAGACATTTTATGCTCTTTAATTCACTTCAGTTCAGAGTAAATTAAATATGATTTCCACCTAACTTAGATATAATATATCTTCCCATACACAAAAACTATTACTGATATTTGTACATAATCTGCCAGTAAAATATCTAAAGAAAATGTCTTAAAAATCTGTATATTCCTATCTGTTATTGAATCAGATGAAAAGTATTGTTGAAAATCTGTCATTACATATCCCATGGTGAAACAGGAATTTTTGGAATGATTTCAGTTTGAAAGCAAAGGTACCACAGACGGTACTTGCAGCAAGTCTGCGGATGACATGACCGAAGTCCAAGGGGTGGACATCTTGAAGCAAGTGTTCAGAGCGAAATGGAGCTAACTCTTTGGTGGAGTTTTGCAGGGTACCTACTCCAGAAGAAACAGTGGAAAGAGATGATGGGATGGCTGCATGGAAAACAGCCAAGACTCCTGCAGAGCATACTGAGCGGAAACTTGAGACGGATACGAAGTGGAAGTTGCCCCAAAATCCAGCGAAAGTGCCAAAAGCTGTGGAGCTGATGGATATTACTTAAAGTAATCATTTTCAGATGTTAGATCAAGCCAGTACGGAAAATGAAGGAGGAGGAGCGCCAGCAGTTGACACGCCCCCGCCCATTGTGTTCCCCAGTGACACTCCTGATTGGTTAGCAATCGATGAACTTTTTCGCGAAGAATTGTGCTGAAACTCGTGAATCTAGTGCTAAGACGAGGGCTATCCATGTGTATGTCAAGAATGGAGTGGATTTCAAGAGAATGACAAAACTCTTAAGTGATAAATAAAGGCATTGCTTTTTACACATTTCAACCGCGGTGTGAGAGGAACATCAGGGCGATCATTAAAGATCTACCTGCTTCTATCAAGGAAGAGGCTATCCTGAAGGACCTAATCAGACGAAAGTTTCCGGTTATCAAAGTGAAGCAGTTCATGAGTAAAAATAATGATACTCAAGTAAAGCTTCCAATCTTCTTTATTTAACTTAAACATAACCTGGAAGGAGATCAGATCTACCAACTGAATCACATGTTCAGTTTTGGCATTTGCGTAGAAAAGTACAAGCCAAGGAAAAGGCATGTGCAGTGTTTTCGCTGCCAGGCCTTTGGTCATACCCAGAAATTGTGTAACAATCCTGAGCGATGCGTGAAATGCGGAGGAGCTCATCAGAACAATATGTGCACCAAAAAACCTGATGAGAAGCCATGCTGTATCTACTGTGGAAAGGACCACGTGAGTAGCTTTCGTGGGTGCGAAGCCTACAAGATGAGGTTTGAGAAGAAAACCAAACCAAGAATCCAGAGACAACCTGCTCCTGAAGCATCATCCGAAAACTTTCCAGAACTACCCAAGACTGACTATAACTGGCTCAGCCCAGACGACTAACAAAACCCGCTACACCGACAAAGTTAAAAACAAACGAACTTCTGTGCCTAGCATTTTTGATGGACTTTTATCGTGTTTTTCCAACCCGAACATCCAGGAACTTGGCGAAATCATACTCAAGATACTTAGTTTTCTACAGAATGTAAATATTGCAGAGAAACTTCAAGCAGTGCTCCAAACAGTGCAGAAACTTATGGAATACACTAATAGTGAGTAATTACTTTTCTTTGAACTTTAATTTTTCAGTAATCATCACTTGTTCACCAGCTCGACGGCTTTTCTTGACTCTCTGTTATTAAAATTTTTAAACACTGTTAGTCAATTATTTTAGCTCAAATTTTTCTTATTACTTTATTTTTATTTAATCTCTTAATGCTAATCTTCTGACTAGTTAATTCATTTAAGTTCAAGACTATGACTAGGTTATTTTTTGTCACTTTTTGCAATAACTCAAAATGTTCTACAAGGGGTAGGGCCTGGTGTCATGACGCACCGTTCCACTGGAGGAACTACAGACATAGCACAGTGTCTAGAACAGTAAAAGAAAACACTCAGATGAAATCAAAGCAGAATTGCTAAAATATCAAAAAGTTACTCAGGCTTTGCAATTATGAATATGATGGAGGACTGGCACCAAGGAGATATCTTTCAATCATTTGTGCTGCTTTTAGTCTTCCACAGTGCTTGTCAAAACAAAAAATGAATGATAATAAAATGTGCAGCTTCTGGTCAACTTCTGGACCTTTAGCATGAATTCATTTACTAAAAACCATAGCAAAGGAAGTTAATTTCCTAAACATTTCCCTCCATTTTCTTTTTTATCCTCAAATTATTGTAAAAGGCTTTATTATTTTATACAGACATATTTAATAAATATAATTTTTCAAAAATGACACACAGATATACAAAATTCAAAATAAAATTACAATTTTAATTGCTCACTTTAAACTCCTAATAAAAAGCCATGACACACAGCTTGAAAACTGTTGTTATTAGTCATAAATAACATGCAAGTTTCTAACTTGGATCATAAGCAGAAATACTCTAATTACAGTTTAAATACTTTTAACTATGTTCAGTAATATTTTATAAATTTAATAAAATTATACAAGTCATATTTTGGCAACTTAAGATTTTAAAATGGAACCAAAACACCAATAGGATAATATTTTCATAAATTTCCTCAATTAATTTGCTCAGTGAATATTTTAAATAATTTTCTATCAACAAAAACTCAAAGTATCAGCCAATAACTAGTTTTTTATTTATGGAAAAATAATTTTGAATTTAATAAATGTTTTTTGAGAAATTACTTGCATAAAAAGATATAAATTGTCTTTGGTTAAGAAATAAGATAAAATAGAAAACAATACCATTTCCAGCATCACTTTCTTTATAAAAGCCAAATCATGAAAATACTCGCCATTTTATCTTAATGAAAACTTGTCCTGAAATAATACTGTAGTTTCACCATATGAAGAAATTTAAGATAAATTATTATAAAACATTTAACCAAAACCAATTTTAACACAATAAATAAATGTGTAAGTTATCAATAAAGGCTGTATTTTGATAATTTTTCATGATTCTATTGCACATCAGATCAGAAAAAAATTATAAAAATATGTTCATGCTTTTCAGATTGATTACATTAACTGAAGCAGATTACATAATTTATATAAAAAGCTGTATTATTTTAGCAAAGCTGATGCATTAAAAATAAAATTTCAATATGTTATTTGAACTAAAAATTCCAAAGGATCTTTGAAAACATGATAATTATTAAAAAGGGATGGAAACTCTATTATTAGGAACTTCAAACTACAGAATGCTTTAAATATTTAGCCCTAGTTGTCTGAGTTTGGCAACTTATACTAAGATGTGTAGAAATAGTGGTTGTGTATGTTCCACATATTTTTATAATTAGATCGGTTGCATGAGATTCTTGAGTTCACAAGGAAAGATGCTACCAACTTAAAGCACAATTCACTAAGACCTGCATAATTTTAATTATTATTTTTCTTATTACAGAAATTAGATCACATGCTGGTCTCATAGCACTGTCTAAAAGCAGATCATTCTATAATCCCAGAATGCATTTTGCGATGGCGAAAGAAATCCGGATTTCCATCTGTTGGGAAAAAGGGAATGATTCCCCAAAGTAATTCCCCAAGTACCAAAAATATAAAGAGTTAAAAGATACCAAGGGTTTAATTGAACCCTCTGTCTGCAGTGGGTGATTGTTGGTGCTGTAATATTAGTGAAGCTTAGAGTCAGAAGAAGACTGGGTGATGCATTTGAAACTGGAGGAGTGACGGCTACACGAAAGTTCCACGTGAACACAGCAGTCCTCAACTAGGAGGAATGCAGACTTAAGGCAATCAATACTAAATTGTAGAGATTCTATTGCGGATGGAGATACTAAAATGCTTTGCTGTTCGAGAAAGCCCTTTATAAGGTGCTTGAAATGGCTTTCAGATGCCGTCCCAACCACTAAAACTCATCCTGAAGACATGGGTGCAGACTTGAAGTTCCGGGGGATGGAAGAATAGTGTTGATACGTCATGTGTTGATGTTGGTTTAAATGACATTTATCATTTCACGTAATTGGCTGAGAAATTCTGATAGTTCAACTTAATGCCACAGGATTTAAGAACTAGTTGCCACAGGATTTAAGAAATTGGCAGCTATACACCAATTCTGCCACCATGCACTGAAGATTGGACTTAAAGGCAGACATACGTCCAAGAAGAACTAGAGGCAAGGATTCCATCCAACGATATTGCTGTGGCATTTGAGGGATTGCTTAAGGGAGCTATGAAAGTGTTCAACAAGTCCGTTACTGGCAGGATGATATGGAGACAAGTGGGTGCGCTTGTCTTAAAGTTCCACAATAAGTTTTGTCAGCAAAAGAAGGAACATTGACTCAAACTGCCGTCTTTGGTCCATAGTGATGATGGAGGGTACCCCAAAACAGGAAATTTAGCATTCGATAAATGTACGGACAACTGTCTGAGCTGAAATGTCAGCCAAAGGAATGGCTTCCGGCCAATGTGTAAACCGGTCAGTGCAAATAAGCAGGTAAGTTGCACCATCGGAAGGTGGAAGAGAGCCAAATGACATGTACACTGCTTAAAAAAAAAAAAAAAAAAAAAAAAAAAAAAAAAAAAAAAAAAAAAAAAAAGAGAGGACAGTGCTATATCTCCCATTCTACTGGGCCGATTGACAAAATTCAAACTGCGTTTTTCATGTCTCGAAAGCGTGACTTGGGATATATATTAGATTTATATATAGCAGTCTCTGCAGCTGATTAATTTATGAACGTCACCTGAATCTGCTGCATTTAGACAAGTTGTTCTAGCTGACATTCGTCAACAATTTTGGGTTTTGAGAGGAAGGAAGACAGTCCAAAGAGTTATCACAAAATGCTTTAGGTGCAGAAGATATTCTTTGAAGAAAATGGAAACTGAACCAGCTCCACTGCTGGAAGACAGAGTTCGGGATGCATTCATTTTTGAAGTTATGGGAGTGGATTTAGCTGGTCCTCTACACTTAA